GTGCAAAAATAATAAATACATTTTAAGAGTAAAGACCTTTCACCATTCTCCACCATCTTTCAAATCATTCTGGGGAGGTGGGTGGTTGGTATTCTCAAACTAGAAATATAGAAACGCTTCTTAAATTTCTAAAGAACATCAGACGGGTTTTGTGTCATAAGCACTGTGAGAAAACAAGAAAATTATGAAAACACACTGGGAAACAGATACCAGGGTTCAGCCTCTTGTGGCTTCTTTGGAAGAGGCCAAAAAGCCCTTGGACGGGAATGACCTGGATTCCACTGAGCATGTGTCATGGAAAGATCTGCAACATCACTGTTTTACTCATCTTGCTATTTTTTAAGAATTAAATATCACAGTGCTGCCCACACCGGCTGATCAAAAACCTGGGTATACTGCAATCATTGGTGACTGCAGAAACCCTATCAGGCCCCAGCAGTCGCTGAGATCTGAGTTTACCCCCACACTTCCAGGGCACAGGAATGATACCTGCCATTGTGGCCCCTATCTGGGAACCACAAAGTCATCCCACGGATTACACTGCTGGGAGGGTACATGTGATGGATTCATTCATGAATATTCATGACTAGTGAATATTTAACAGCCATTGACAGAAAGCTTCCTGGGGACCCATCCAGCTGATAAGCGGCAATTCATTCCATGCTTGTTGAGCCCTGGCCAAGTGTCAGGTAGAAGACACGTCCACAGCCGCCGCAAACAGCAAAGCTGGAGTCAGCTAGGCTCTCCTTCCATTCCTGGCTAGCTGTGGCATCCTGGACAACATAGTCTGGCTCTTTATGCTTCGGCTTCATCATCTATAAACTGGAGATAATGGTAGACTTACCTCAAAGGCTTGATGGGCTTATCTTAGTACAGCATGTACACCCAATGAATGTCACGTCCTCCAGAGACATTCCCCTTAGTACGCTCCTCAAGCTACATCAGATTTCTTCTTTGTACCCGGCAAGCTTTCCTCCGTAGTATTTGCCAGTTTCTAACTCTAGCTACTTTGCAGCTTGATGATCTGATTAACCACTCTCTCTCCCACAGGACTGTTAAAATTATCATAAAGGCAGAGATTCTGTCTGATTTGTCTAATATACCCAACACCCAAAACAGTAGCATGTAATTAGGTGCTCAATAAATATTTGCTAAGCTAATAAACTAGGTTGGCAAATTCACAAAATAATACAAAGATGAAACAGCCCTCATCAAGGAGTTCCCAGGCCACTGATGCAGTCCTCAACTCTAGCTGCATTTAGAGTCACCTGGGGAGTAATACTCTTGTAATCCCACTACTGGACCCTACTCTGGAGCTACTCTTGGAGTGTGAGGGCTCGGGGAATCCTTGTTTTTGTATTCTAAGAGCTCTTCAGGTGATTTTATTTTATTACTTTATTTTTAGGTTGCATGGCGCAGGTTGTGGGATCTTAGTTCCCCGACCAGGGACTGAACCTGCGCCCTTGGCAGTGAAAGTGTGGAGTCTACCCACTGGACCACCAGGAAATTCCCTCTTCAGATGATTTTAATGAAAAGCCAGGATTGAGACTCACTGGTCTAATGCAACAGAGACAGGCTAACAATTACAATACTACGGGATGTGTGCTCTACAGCCACAGAACTTCCTGTGATGATGGAGACACCCTGTGTCTGCACCCCCCAATGTTGTAGCCACAGTCACACATGACTACTGAGGACTCAAAATGTGGCTACTGAGATGGAGGGCCTGAACTTTAAATTTTATTTTAATTAATTTAAATTTAAAAAGCCATGTGTGACTGGCTAGTGCAGACCTAGGGCAAAGTACACACAACAACCCTGAATCCAGGTTTCAAAGGGGAAACCTTTGGGGGGGATTCAAAGCTCAGTCAGCTGCGGTCCCCCCCAACCACAGGAGAGTAGCATCTGGGAGAGGAAACGGCAGCCAAACTCTGCACTCACCCCCCCTTCAACTCTCCACCTTACATACACACAGGGACAACCTCTCCCCACTGCCACGTCCAGGACAGCTGGGACCAAGCAAATGCTTTAAAGAAGCACATCCCCAAGTACAAGAGCCTTTGTGTGAGCTGCTGAATGACGTGGTCATTGAGGCCAAGGCAAGAAATGTGTCTTGAGTAAGGACACTTGGAAAAGAAAGTCACATGGAGCCCCGAGCAGAGTAAATGTGGCAGCACCTCACAGCTGTAAATCAGAAGTCTCCCTCTGTGACTCACAGGCAGAAACCATACCATTATGGAGAACTGACATTTATTCCTTAGGCAGATAATGGCTCATTAAGCTCTTTATAAAATCAGACTGGTGCAACATTATTTGCAGAAAGACTGAATTAATATAGGGAAAGCACCCATGCTATTGACCTACCTGCCATTTTTTCTCATCTACTATGTGTTAAGCACGGACTGCGTGGCAGGCAGTGTGTCAGGGGCCTTAAATATTCCCTCATTTTGTCCATACAATACCCTGTAAATTAGATATTATTTTCTCATTTTATGGTGAGGCAATTTAAGACTCATGGAAGTCATTATTTACTTATTTATTTAGTTATTTATTTTGGCTGCACCAGGTCTTAGTTGCAGCACGCGGGATCTTCGTTGCGTGCAGCATGAGGACTTCTTCCTCGACCTGGGATCGAACCTGGGCCCCCTGCATTGGGAGTGTGGGGTCTTACGCACTGGACCACCAGGGAAGTCCAAGACTCATGGAAGTTAAATAATTTACTTTAACAAGTAGTGACAAAGCTAGGATTTAAACTTAGATCTATGCTACACCTAAGTTTCTTTTTTATAAAGTCTGTCTAGTATTCTATTATATAGATATACTATTGTTTATTTAACAAATCTCCATTTTCTGTTTTACCAAATCACAGTCAATGCTTCAATGAACCTCCTTGTATATAAAGCATAACACACACACATACATATAGAGAAGTACATAAATCCTAAGTGTAGCATTTGATGAATTATCAAAAACTAGACTTATCTATGTAATACCCTCCAAATTAAGGAACAGAACAATACCAGCACCTCAGAAGCCCCTTGTGCCATCTTCTAGTTATTTAACCCACTCACATCCCCTATTAAGGGCTACCACCTCATCGGAGTTCATTAGAAGGAAGCTAAGACATAGGTTATAAGTTAGGTGTATAATCTAGGCCAAGACTTAAAGCACCATTTGGTCACTACATAACCAGACAAATATCATTTACCTACCTTGATTAGAAGTTAGTGTTTTATTGGATATAAAGAAATTAGAGACACGTCTCCAGGAACCAGGGTACAAAATGTGTTAATTAAGATTACAGAGTGCCCTAAGCCTGGGGCTTTAATGAAGACAAGAGACAACTGATTCCCAGCTCTGACAAGAGGAGGAGGACCAGGAAACACCCTATGATTTTATCACAAGAGTGAGTATAAATGTAAATAAAATATAAAACATATAAATGTATTGCATTTACTGAACTGCCATGAGGTGGTAAAACTTTTACAGATATTAACTACTTAAATCCCTTCAACAACCCTGTAATATCACGATCCCCGTTTTACTTTTTATTTATTTATTTATTTTAACATCTTTATTGGAGTATAATTGCTTTACAATGGTATGTTAGTTTCTGCTTTATAACAAAGTATCCCCATATCTCCTCCCTCTTGAGTCTCCCTCCCTCCCACCCTCCCTATCCCACCCCTCTAGGTGGTCACAAAGCACCCAGTTGATCTCCCTGTGCTTTGCGGCCGCTTCCCACTAGCTTCCCACTAGCTATCTACCTTACGTTTGGTAGTGTATATATGTCCACGCCACTCTCTCACTTTGTCACAGCTTACCCTTCCCCCTCCCCGTATCCTCAAGTCCATGCTCTAGTAGGTCTGAATGAAGATTCCCGTCTTACCCCTAGGTTCTTCATGACCTTTTTTTTTTTCTTAGATTCCATATATATGTGTTAGCATACGGTATTTGTTTTTCTCTTTCTGACTTACTTCACTCTGTATGACAGACTCTAGGTCCATCCACCTCACTACAAATAACTCAATTTCGTTTCTTTTTATGGCTGAGTAATATTCGATCCCCGTTTTAGAGAGAAGATGGAGGTTCAAAAAAGTGAAGTAACCAGCTCAAGGTCACGCTGCTGGTTACAGGGAGAGAAAGGGTGCAAACCCACAAGCATACAACCTCAGAGCATGCCCTTTCCATTGTACTCCACTGCCTTCCCTTCCCAGGTGTTCTGTTACAGACAACTGATCTCTTAGAGACCTGGCCTCTGGGAAAGCGAGCTGGTATTGCAATACCAATAACAAAAGATGTGAGTCAGAGACCTTGAAACTCATTTTATGTTTGCAGGCCTCTCCCTCCCTGGGGCACTGGAACCTACCATTTCTTGTGGTTACCTACTGTTTATCTTAATTCGGTTTACTTCTTCTAATCCACTGACAACATACTTTTCTCTCCAAGACGACAAAGTCTCTGACCAAAGCTAAAACATTTGGTGACACAGGTTACCTGGCCTGCCCTGAGCCAGATGCAAAGACTCGAGTTGGCAGGTCTGTCCAGGTCTCTCCCTTTAGCCTCGTCCTCATGTGTCCCCTAACTTTCACCCCACGCCTGTCACCAATACGGATTTTCAAATGTGTACAGGTACACTTCCGATGGAAAAGATCCTCATGTGTTTAACTGAGGCCACCGAATTACAGTCTGACCAACCACACAAAGAGAATTTTACATATCTCCTATGTCACTTGTGGCAAAATTACCTATAACTCTTCTGAAGTTTTTCACTGTGTAATAAAACCCACTGCAACTAATGTTTTTCCTTCTTTTTACTTGGGAAGCAGTAACAGGTTTGGACTGACAGAAGAGACAGAAAAAAAGAGAAAAACTGGATTTCTTTGACTTACTTGTTTTTCCATTTGTATCAAGTCTTCCAGAAACTTAGCATCTAACAAATAACAAAAAACTGCAGACAATATATGTAATTGGTGTTATCTGCGTTGGTAAGTACTTACCTTGACCGGAATTATATATTGCTTTTACAGACTTCTTAACTTTCTGTAAGGCTGTTCTATCTTGGTCTAGAGCCTAGAAGAGAAAAATGGGGGGGGGGGAGAAGATGTTGGAAAACTTGGTAAGTTAAAAAAAAAAAAGGAACTAAAGAAAAAGAAAATCTCATTCATAACTGTATTTGTTGTGCTGAGCACTGCAGCAACAGCAAACTGGTATATTTATCAACAATGAACCCCTTCAGAGACACGAAGTGCGCCCAGGATTTGAGTAGTTATATTTTGGGGATAAATACGGTCATTCCACAAGCTCAACATTGGGTGAAATGGATAAGCTGGTAGTCAGTCCGTGACCGTGCTAAGCTATGCACAGGAAAGAAAATATAAGATACCTAAGATCTGATTCTTTCACTCAGAGAGTTTACAACCTGGGAAGGGAGAAGGGCCAACATATGACATGGATGACACCTTTCCAGGGAACAAAACACATCTTATCACCTAATGGTAGTTTCAGCCAGAAAGAAAACATTTAAGGGAGTGGGATAAGCAAGAGTGACCCCGAAGAGCTTCAAGCTTTTAAACTTGAGGCTTCCTTTTAGTTAAAAAAAAAAAATTTTTTTAATGACATAATGCCGCGTGTATTTTAAACATTCTGTTTATTAAAAAAGCACAACATGAGAAATGCTACCATGATGCAGGTAATGCTTGTACATGACTTCTTAGGTGATGAATCAACACATCTCCAGTGATCTACAAGGCAGGGGTGAGGGGGCTGTTTCTGGGGGACTGTCACTCCTGATTCTTGTCCCAGGTGCTGGATACACAACTGGGTTTCGTTTGTGAAAATCCATCAAACCCCGCACTTAGGATATGTACTCTTTTGTATGTGTGTATTACACTTCAAAAACAAGTCAATGTAGACATACTCATGGCACGCTGACTTAGCTTCTTAGAATAAATTCAAGCCCCTCTCTGCTTTCCCAAGGTCCACGGTCCATTCACAGTCTGGGAACCCCTGGAGGGTGGGTCAAGATTTGGAGGGCAGGAGCAATAGCAGCAATAAAAATAAACTTGTATAATAAAGTTTAAAAACATTCAATGTGCACTCACAACCTTTACATCATCTAAACCTCAAGACTTCAGATGAGTGAACGGAAGCCCACGGAGGGTAAGTACTTGCTCTCTGCAGGGTACGGGGGGAGCTGCAGGGGGCAAGGTGATGGCAGTAGGCATCTGTTATTCCCCTTCTGCAAAATGGGCTTTCCTGCCACTCTAAACATGGGGTTCACTGGGCGCTGCCCCTTTCCTTTGGCTCCTGTTCTCTGAGCACCCATGACTGGCCAGGTGAGCAGGGCCCATGCTGGGCTCAGTCCTGCCTAGGATTTCTGAGCTTGGGATCCGGGATCATAACATGCAGCCCCTTTCTGATGATGCGAGCCTGGGGGCCACCAGGGGTTCTGTTTCTAGCTGTGTGGAAGAGTCTGGCCAGACAGGATGATGTTAACAGAGACGAAGCACCAGAAACAAGAGGTGGAGGGGGTCCTGGTGGCAGCTGAGTCCTTGCTCCCAGCTGTCCCCAAGTCTATATCACTGCCAACCTTCCTGTAGACTGAGTACATGGGACAATAAATTCCTTTTGTCAGAAGCTAGTTGAAGTTGGGATTCTATCACTTGCAACCACAAGTCCTAAGTGACACAAGAACTAAAGTTTACTGAGCACTTACTACACCAGGCATAAGCTTGTAGAGAAGATGTACCAAATAGATATCTTATCTCTTTGAGTTACATCTTTACAAAAATCCTGTGAAGTAGCATCTATATTTTTCAGCTAAGGAAATGTGATAGGCCTTCAATAAATATCTGTAGGAAAGGAGGGAGGGAGGGAGGGAAATATTTACTAACTTGCTCAAAGTCACAAAGCCAGAAAGTGCTAAAATCACATTTTACACTAATGTCTCCCGAATCCCAAATCTAATGGGATGCTGGGATAAAAACCAGCGTTTTGCAGACTGTGGATTAACGCTATTTCTACCTTGCCCATCACTCACTTTCCACTTCCACAACTTTTTTCACAGCCACGTCCCATCTGCACTTCTTTTTAATTAACATTTTTCTTTAAATTCATTCACTTTTTTTTTTCATTCACATCTTTTTAAAAAATTTAAATATACTCTAAAGAGCTGGCTCACTCAACATTAATAGAAGATACCCTAAAAATGACTATGTGCCTCTAACTACATAAAATGCTCGTCTGTTCACTACCTCAAACCACCTCATCTAATGCCAGTGATACTGCATATCACATTTAAGGACACAATGTTTTAGGACACAGCTCCAGAGGAAGAGACAAAGTTTGAGTAATTTCAAAGATCTGAGGTTTGTACATCAGAGGACAGAAGGAAGATAACTAACATTTTAATAAATGCTTAGTCATAAAGGTGCTGAGATTTACATAGATTATCTCACTTAATTCTTACAAAAACGCTACAAAATAAGTACTATTACTGGATTCATTTTATAGATGAGGAAACAGAGGCTTAGAAAGTGTAACTTGCCCAGGTGGCAGAGTAGGAATTTGAACCCAGTTCTTCACGGTAAAACTCCACCTCCAAATCACTACCCAGTTCTGCATTCCAATGGTATCTGTGAAGAACTGAAACCAAAAGCCGTCTCATCTTAAGAGGGCAATATCCACGAGTTTTCAGAGAAAAATCTGTGTTAAGAAACTACAAGACATTTAGGTTGCTAGGAGGCTGGGAGGGAAAGACAGTAATGCAAATAAGCACTCATTTTAAGAGATGGGATCCAAAGGGTTTATCCTTTGCTGAACCGCTTTTGTGTAAGGATATTTTAAAAAATAATTCTAGTAACAGCCACCATTTATTTTTTATGTACATATTTCTGCCATCTTTTTTTCTGATGAAAACCCCTGGGCTTTAGGGAAGTGAAACAACCTGCCAGTTGTCACACATCAGGTAAGAGAAGAACCAGCTTACGCTTTTTCAAACAAGCCACCTAAAAATCCATCGCAGAAGGCACGCTCATGTTTCTCCTAGATCTTACGATTTTTTAATAATTTTCGAGAAAGGCAAAAAGATCTCCTTCTGGAAGAAAATAACCTATCAGCTCAGCTTTGGGGAGTGATGACCACTGAAGGATGATTCTACTACTGGTAGAGAAATTAATGAGTGGGCTTTAATGTCCATGCACATTTAGAGTTAATGACTCCAAATGAGCAAAGGGCTGGAAAAGATTTCAGCCGTAACATTTTATGAGACCAGTTATCTGCTTCCTTTTTGCAGGAGGGAAAGTCTCCGAAATTTATGTTGAATTTTTACCAACCTGTCTATAGAACTAATAGGATGTAAGGTTCAGGTACTTACTTCTAAAGGTTATTAATGACATTCACATTAGACAGCTACAGCCACCATTATGTCCGTGTGACACTTCTCTTTTTACACTCTACTATTTGGCCATGGGCAAAAAGCAGCTGAGTAAAATGCAGTTTTAAGAACTCCGTGTTTAAGAGAGCCAGGGAACACTGTCCTTCAATCAAACAATGCTCCCTCCAGAAAGAACACGTCTAAATAGGCTACAGAGCGCCATTCTCTCGACAGCCAGACAAGCAACACCTGCAGTGACATCTTTTGAAATGTCCTATATGTGAAACTACATAAAGCTAAGAGAAAAGTGGCAGATGCACGGGCTACAAAATTATCCTACCTCTCAACCCGTTAAAAGTTGTTAAAATATGTGCCTGCGTTTCTAAGCATGCATCTGAAGGTGAACAACTCAAAAGCGTATGCGTTTGTGAGAGGAGAGAGGGAGGGGAAGGAGGATGAATGAACCACGACAGGAGTCCAGGAGAATATGCTCATCTCTAACAGTTGAATAACACCTCCCCCACCTAGAACTTTGCAACACGGCAACTTCCCCTTCTCTGCATTACTAAAGAGCAGGGCCGTTAACCTAGAAAAGCACTTCCCATCTTTATATGGAGACATATTACTTTTGTTTCATGCACAGTCCTAACAAGCTTGGGCGTCTGAATACACAGAGAAGACACAGGGTACTGCAAATTAGAGAGAGATTGCTGGAGAAACCGCACCAACAGAAGCTGGCCACCAGAGGATTCAGAAAGATTATACAAACCGGACATAAGAATGCAAAAACAATCCTTAAGAATCAGAGGCCGTTCAGGGTAGGACGTGGAACCTTTCGTCCCACTCCAGGCCGAGCAGCATCCCTGGGTCACAGCGGAGCGCAAACAACACATGTTCTCAGAGATGCACAGGCACGCAGCCACGCCTGTGTCAAGCACAGGGCATCTGCACTAGCTGATCCCTCTGCCTGGAACGCTCGTCCCTAACCTCTTCAGATGATGGGCTCTTTCTTCTTACCCAGGCCTCAGAACAAAAGCCCCTTCCTCCGAAAGCCCTTTTATGGTCAACCTAAAGCAGCACACCCTCCTGCTTCCCAGTCACTCTCTCATATACCTCACACTAGATATTCCAGAGCACTACACACCCCGAAATGATCCTGTTCATGACCTGTTTACCATAATGGTATTTATCTCCCTCCACTGGAAGAATGAAAGCTCTATGGAGACAGGGGCCCTGCAGAACCTGTTCATGGCTGAATTCCCATTCCCTGTGCTTGGCAGATGGCAGATGTTCAAAAAATGTTTATGAAATGAAGTAACAAACGATGAAGAAATGAATTCCTCAGTATTCTCAGCTCCCCAAATAGGAAAGGATGCAATGCAAGACTTGCCTTGCAAATGGCTGAATAAAGTTCTGAATTCAGAAAACATGGCCCCCTGTAATTCCTCCCCTGATTGTTCTGAACAGCCAAAGTTTAAATGTGTTAAATAAATGTGTGTGTGACACATGTATGAGGCATATGACCACACAGTACCATGAGTAATGGTTTAACAGGACAGACAGAACTTACACATTTTAAGTTAGTTTTGTACCTTAGAATAGTTATTCTGGCAACTTCCTTAAAAAAATTTTATTAGAATATAGTACACCTACGTTAAATGAGCAGTGGCAATACGACTGTTAATGTTAAGATTTT